CTGGTTATAAACTCCGTTGGAAATTAAAACAGAAACAGAAAGTCATTAGACTCTGTTTTAAAAGCTGTACTAGGCATACGCTCATCCGCTTAGTATATATTTTTTTTTTATAAAAAAAAAGGAGTGCTATTAGTACTAATTTTAAAAGAGACTCAAGTTTTCCAGATATTTTCCAAGGCCCAATTGAGGAGAGGAGCTTAATAAAAGGGTCCGGATTTTGATGTTGGGAAATCTCAGTTATCAGTTGAATGTTCGGCGATTTCTCAGTTATCAATAAAAATTTCCAGTTATCAGTAAATGTTGCAGACCTCAGATCTCAGCTACCTGTCGAAGACGATAAATAAATATTTGGAGCAATTCTCAGTATCAGGTAAACCTTATCTAGGCCCTTCAAACATATTAGAGGGGCAGGGCTTACTTTCCATAAACCAGCCATAACCCGTTGCAAAATTGCTGAGACATGTTGACGCATTTTACTCAAAAAACGCATTGCCATCGAGAAATTAGGCGAATAATTTTAATTCTGAATCCCTTCGTTTTCGTGTGACTGTTTGTAGGAGCCCATCACTCAGAGAATCACCTTTGTAGTCACCTGTTCCCATGTCTTTTCAGAAAGAGATCTCCGGCTATCTCTTCACTCCCACTTCGAAACACCCAATCACAATACATACAAGAGAATACATTGTTACTGCACACACTGATCACGTAAAATTCCCAAGAAAAAGCAAAAGCATTATATGGACGCCCTGAGAAATGGGCTTCCGTTATTTATAGGTTTGAATAGCATCACAAAATTCCTGCAACGTTATAGGTGAGTGAAATGGCGTAATTATTTTGGTGAGGAGTTCCTATCTTAGAAGGAATTTTTGCTTCTGCCTCTCTATTAAAGCAAGTAATATACATGTATGACGGCAGATAGAAGTAGACCACAGTAACAGAATTATTTGGCAAATACAAGCGTTCTTTTGGTCGTAGAATGAACTCTTTCTACTTACTCATTTCTTCTGATCAAATTCTAGGGTGACGTCATCACCAATCAGTACAAAAGGCGCCCAGTGTTTAACATCACTGTACTTGTCTGATTCTCTTAGGCTTGTCATGGCCAGGTTCAGGGACTCGCTTGCACTTTTCCCTTCCACAAGGTGATGGTAGAAGCTTCTCATAAACTCCAACGTGGCCTCGTCATCGATCGCCCAGAGTGAGACCAAAACAGAACGAGCGCCAGCACCCATAAAGGCACGTGCAATACCGACCACGCCTTCATCCTTGATCTCTCCTCGACCACTGTGGCAACAGCTGAGAACAACCAGTCTTGCTCGTAGTTTAACATTCAGCACATCGGCTATTGTCAAAATGTAGTCTTCCTTCATAGGGATCGGGGATCTTCGCTTTGGGTCCGGAGTTAGAGCAATTTCGCCAGTTTCCATGCGACCATGTGCTGCAAAGTGAACCAAAGCGACGGAACTGAGTTCTTTCAACACCTCACGTTTCGTTGCTTGTTTTCCAATAATAGGTGTTACGTTGAGAATTCGCCCGATCATTTCCACTTCCGTTCTGGCAAACGGAAGCGGATCTAGGATTTTTTCTCCCTTGCTATTGGTAACTTCCTCAACCCATGGATCTCCCACAAGTAGCGATCCACTTCTACTGTGGTATTCTTTGGGACAATCAGCAATCAGCTTTAAACTTGTCAGCGAGGGAATTACCCGGACTCTAAAAGAGTCACACAGGTATTTGGAATCAGCATCCATAAGTGCAGCGTATGGAGCCAGCCACAAGAGGCCATCTGGGACAATGATAAGCTCATTTCCTTGAACCAGGTCGGCAACTGGCTTAATTATGTTGTTGTACAAAGTGTTCAAAGGAGACTCTAGTGAGATGGAAGGCTGGGAGCTTTCATCTTCAAACTTCACATCTTCCGTGTGATCATATTTCCTCAATGCATCCAAAGATCGATCCTCACATCTAGCCTCAGAACGAACACCAACTTCTTTGTAAGCTTTTTGCATTGTGGACCTGAAGTAGGCGGCGGCATCTTTCAATCCATGGGTAATTTCCTTTTGTCTCAAATGTACAGGCTTCCCTTTCGAGAGAACCCAGAGAGTGATTGTTTCTTTGTCAACAGCCTGGAAGACTGTGCAAGATGAAATGTTTTCTGACAAGTTCAGTTCATGTTCCTCTTCCGCATTTGACTCAGCCTGATTCATGTGAATTCCAAATTGAGATTCCATAAGATCAGTAAGAGCTTGCGCTCGTCCTTTCTCAGCAGCACACAAAGCTTCAGTAATCTTGCCTTGTTTCAACAGAACTCTCCATAAAGCTTTGTAAGAATTGTTAAATGCATCCCGAAATCCAATTTTCCACTCGTCTTTGGATTTAAGAAAACCTCTCACATGATTGTATGATCTTACACTAGACTGGTAATAATCTGAGGCTTCAGGTAAACGACCAAGTGATTCAAAGCTTGCACCTAGTCCCTCATAAGCAAGCCCTTCACTAAACTTGTCTCCTACTTCTTTGGCAATTTCAAGGTCCAGCTTATAATAGTCTATGGCTTGTTTGTAATCACCGAGAATGTTTAAAGCACGGCCAAGATTTCCACATGACATTCCTTCTCCAGCCTTGTCTCCAACTTCTTTGGCGATACGAAGAGATAGGGTGTGGGCGATTATGGCGGCTTGGACATCACCGAGATTTTGAAAAGCAAGGCCAAGGTTGTCATATGCCATTCCTTTACCAGCCTTGTCTCCCACTTCTTGGGTAATTTCAAGATGAAGTTTGAAGTAGTCTATAGCCTTCTTAAAATCACCGAGGTTTAGGAAATCGTTGCCAAGATTGCAGTATGCCTGTCCTCGCTCAATCTTGTCATTGCATTCTAATGCAACACTTAGCTGTAGGTTGTGATAGTGGATGGCTTTTTTAAAGTCGCCGAGACTTTTAAAAGTAATGCCAAGATTGCCATATGCCCTGCCTTCGCCAGCCTTGTCTCCCACTTCTTTAGCAATTTCAAGTTGTAAGTTGTTGTTCTCTATTGCCTTTTTGTAGTCACCGAGACCGTGAAAAGCGCAGCCAAGATTGCAATAAGCAGCTCCTTCTCCAGCCTTGTCACCCAGTTCTTTTGAAATTTTAAGGTCAAGATTGTGATATTCTATGGCTTTTCTGAAATCACCTCTAGCTCGATAAGCGGAGCCAAGATTGGCAGACGCGCTCCTTTCCCCAGTTTTATCTCCCAGTTCCCTGGCAATGTTGAGGTCTAGTTTGTGGTAATGCTCCGCTTTTGTGAAATCACCAAGATTGTAAAAAGTAATGCCAAGATTACCATATGCATGTCCTTTGTCTTTTTTGTCATCTATTTCTTCAGCAATTTTGAGCTGGAGCATGTGGTAGTCTATAGATTTTTTCAAATCACCGAGTTTAAGAAAATCGGTCCCAAGATTTCCATATGCATATCCTTCCTCAGTCCTGTTCCCCAATTCTCTGGCAATTTTAAGCTGTAGGTTATGGTATTCGATGGCTTTCTGTACATCACCGTGGTCTCTCCAAGCAATACCAAGATTATGGTAAACATGGCCTTCTTCAGCCCTGTTCCCCATACATTTTGCAATGATGAGACATTGATTGTAGCGGTTTATTTCCTGCTCATCTCTTGTGAGAGTTTTGGACTTAAAAGGACTTAGTTCGGTCAACTCTGCTGGTCGAGGCAGTGCTCCTTCCTGTCACAAAAAAACAGATTAAATTGCTTTAGAAAGTGAATAAACTTTCATTATTTTTAAAGCTCGAATGTTCCGTAACTATGTGACAATAAGACAGCTAGCATGCCAACATCGGGTCAACTCAAATCAAATCAAACTGTCAAGATCATCTGTGATGATTCTGAGCATCTTCATAATAATATTTGAAACCATATAATAGTTTAACTGAGACTGGCAAATAACTGAACTACAACTTTATGTACAAAAAATCTTGTCAGCTTGGTTTTGCAGCATCTTTATCCCTGTAAAATTTTCGTCTCAGGTTAAATGAACCACTTTCCAACAAATAAAGAACCTATTACCTCAATTCTCGCGTGGTCATGTCTTATGAGAATCTCTGAATAATTTGGGCGAGTTTATGACAAGAAAGATTTCGTACCGAAGAAGAGAATGTTCTACGTGTATCACCTTATTTTACAGAGAAACCATACGTAGTCAGCTAAATTAACGATTACTGTCAGACACCTCAGTACGTAACGTAAATATTGGACTTTTAACTTACCAAGCCTTCCACCATCTGAGGTTCGGTCACTTTGTTTCGTTCATCGACAGACCTAACCCTTAATTCCAACAAAGTCTTGTTATTTTTATCAAGCTTCTTCAAGTTAAGATGTCTAACAATAGATTACACGTCGGAACCTGGGGTCTTTTTGGAAAACGTTACGGAATGAATTGTAAACAATTATTGGATGAGGTTTTTGTGATACTGGCAGAATAATCAAGGTCGAGGAAGGGGTTATCAGCTGAAGCCGAAGGCTGCGGCTGATAACCCTTACCGAGACCTTGATTATCCTGGATATCACAAAAACCGAGTCCAATAATTGTTTTATTATACATTCAACGAAAAAAAAAATGGAAGTCATGTTGTTACTTCTTCACTGACAGCAAGCAACACAAAGCTCGCGAACTTGACATGATTACCCTTAGAAATCATGCACCGCGGTCATACATGACATGATTAACGTACGTGACATTGAGTGTCCTTGACACGACTATTGTCTAATCTGCAGCTAGATGACGTCACAGGCGCTGATTTCGAAAATTCACTGTACGCTTTCGGCCAATCAGAAAAGAGATAGTGAGTTAACTGTTTAATAATTTTGCATATTAGGTCAGTTCAGTAAATTAAATCTTCAAATTCTCACTGGAGACGTAAAAGTTTTGATGCGATTGGATGGACATTAAATGCTGTGAAGAGACTTTATAGGCAGTGAGCTTGTAAAGATAATTTCGGCCCAACGCTAACTAACGCTGAGTGCCTAAAAAATTGTTTTCGATAGTTGTAATTAATTTAAGGTTCTTGGACCTGACAGCGTGTCTACAAAATTGTTTCAAGATGTTAAATGAAGAATGATGGTGAAATATAATGTTTATCATGATACGAGCGTGACCCAAAGAATAGCGATAAAATCTGGGACTGACAGATTCAGATCTGTGTCCCCGTTAGGATCTCATGCAGATATTTTTCAAAGGATACTGCCAATCCCTTATCACACCACGTGATGGCTTCTTCAAACTGATTGAGCTGAACACAGGCACTCGCTCCTGACGACAGAAGTGAAAATAAACTTTTCAACAGCATTCCGTGGGGTACTGAATGAGTTATATTAAGTATGTTAAGCCCCTTTCCCATGGCTTTTTTAAGAGGTTTTGGTCTGAAAATGGGTCATAAAATATTTCCATTTTGGACTGAAATTGGGTGTGATTTTGCTTACTGATCTGAAATTGAACGTATTTGAAGGAAACCACATGATCGCATTAACAGGCACGCATCTGGCACCATTCACAGGACTGTGATTCTCAATTGCAAACTAGGATACCATAAATACCATATTACACTTGACATACGCAAACGGCAAGGTTTGAAAATGAACATGAAACATGACTTATGTTAGTACGAGTCAACATCATTAGAAGAAGGTCGCTGAAACCCCCAGCAAAACATTCCGTGGAGTTCTCAGTTATTTATCAACTTGAAGTCGACAAAAGTAAATTTATCGCGCCGTAACAACTTGAGGAAATCCGTTTGCTCGGACGAAGCGCTAATGCTTAAACCATCAGCCTCACTAACTTTCTATGGCAGTCAATTTGCCTTTATCAACTTCATGTTGATAAATTGCTAACTGTCTCTATTTCCCACTGACGTAGCTGAACAGTTTCTTTAGAGCTAGTACCCTCGGTGTGGGAGGGGAACGGAGAAAAGGTCGAGGATGCTCGTCGTCTCGCTTAGGGGTATAAATGAAGGATTCTGGTCACTTTGGGTATTCAAGACGAAACACCGCTATTTTTAGCTGTCAAAGTATCTTTTAGGCCACACTCGAAGAAATAATAATAAAAAGACACTCTATTCTGTTTTTAGGCATGATTTCGGTCGGTCTCTCGAGTCCTGTCTACTAGCGTGTGTTCCTTTCCTGAACAGCGGTTGGTTTCGAGCCTGTCCGTCTTAGTGGTATCTTTTAGGGGTCGAATAAAGCTCCAGCCCCACCCGGATTGGTCTCCTTTAGGGGTTCATATAGGAGTGCTCCCCCCCTCCCCCCCACCCACCAGGCTAATGGCTCTGTTCATTCTGAGGAGCATTCCCCATGAAGAAGGTGGACATCTCAGCTCATTGCAAAAATAGTTGAGGAGTCCCTCAGCACCGATATGGCAAAGCGGAGTTTCTGTTAGCAGCACCACCGCTTGATGTACATTACAGGCAGCCACATCATGGTTGTTTTTGTTAATACCTTGTCTGTCGATGTCCTCACTGTCAGAACGGAAGCACGATACAAAAACACTTGTTTGTAAAAAGCTTACCTCTTACGATCGCTTTGAGGAAAGTTGGTTGTAATTCTGTGGCTGATTTTGCGTCACTTAGTGACTCGTGATATTTTCCTGTTAAAGCAATACGTTTACAAATTAAAAAAAAATTAATATATTTTATAACAATATATTGTATAAAACTGAATAAGCTTATAAGACAAGCAGAGTTGCACAATTCTCTACGACGGAGCAGCAAACAATTAAAACTGCAGCAATTGATTTCCCCAATAAAATTCGTCCTGGCTTTCAGTTATGAATTAAATACACTGATCAGGGGCAAAACGTCAGTAACAGCATGGGTCGCAGTTTAGTGAGGCACGCTCCAGTACTGGAAACGTTCAGAAGACTGTGGCAGTACATTTTAGGACATCCATATGTTTTTAAAGAATATTAGTACCTTTCCAATCTATTCAGTCGTTTACTGATACTGAGTGAAAAGATATGACAGCCAGCGTTACTTCAAATAGTTCACTTTTGTGGTACAAAGCAAATGGACCTTGAGATTATCACGGTAAGCCCGGCATCTTGATGGGTGGCCAACAAGTGCCAAAAACTACTGTAACAATTAATGTTTGCATGAGAATCTCGTGGCAAATAATTTTCTTAACGAATTTGAATTGTGAAGAATTCGTGAATAGCATAGTTATGATACTGTATGGTCAAAGTATTGCATTAACCAAATTTGAGGGATGTAGCTTTGCTACAACGCGTACCAGCGGCGTTTTTAACTTCCCATTTATACATTTGTGTATAAAGTGTTATGCGGCTTTACGAGGTTTCTTCTCGTTGTTGATCAAAATGCTCTGTTCATTTCTAAAATGGAAAGAGAAATGCAAACATTCTTACCCAAATAAAAATGTGCAACTGCCCTGTTGCTGTACAGTTTGGCGTTCAATTCTTTATCTTTGCAGTTCACTTTAATTCCTTCCGTGTAATAGTGAATGGCATTCGCAAAATCTCTTTTCCCATATTCCTCATTGCCTTCATTCTTGTAAACCTCAGCTATTGCTAAAACGTAAATGGAACGAGACCTTTGTAATTTGCAACAGCTTAAAAAAAGTTGCTACAAAATGCGAAGATCCGGTTTTTTTCATTAGTAATGTTATTACTAGTTAATTTCTAAATAATAGCGCAATCCGTTTTATAAAGATATAGAGTAGTGTGATTAATCAGCAGTCTTTAAATATTCTAAAATCACTGAAATAAGCCCTTCTAAAAAAAAAAACAAAGTAGTAGCGGTTCTGCTCACCTCGTAAATTGTCGTCATCAAAATCCAGTGTTTCTTCAGCAGGTGGTATGACGTCATTTTCACTCGGAACCTTGATCGGACTCCTCGCCATGGATGCTGGGAGTTTTCGGTGTTTGAGATTACTAATCTTTTGCGATGCCTCTAGTTCGAGTCAAAATAATTGTAAACAAAAATTCAATGTGAGGAATTAAGTGGCTGGATTGGTGCAACAACAGGTGTTTACTACGATTATCAGTTGAGTAAGGCGCGACGGAGCTTTGGTGACAATTTTTTGTATTCAAAATTACGGTGTTGCCACAGGAAACTTTCCTCGTTATTCATTGCTCACTTTCGAGTCGTTGGTTTTCGTAGTACTTAGCTAGAATTCGGCTAAGGTTGACGCGAAAGAATTAGGTGGATTTATGCAATCTCGTTATTTCCTTGAGATCTAAACATTTTTATTTAACAAATAGATTAAATAGATTCCATGTTTCCCTGCATCTGTTCAGTTATTGATCACAGATGACGTCAAATTTGTTATAAAAACAAAACTGTGTCACTGATGTTCTTACCACATTTTGACGTCTTCTGTGATCTATTACTGAACAGACGGAATCAACTTGTTTTACATCATAAAGAAACAAAAACAAGTTGTTAATGATACTATTCATAAGGTCTTGTCTTCGTGCCTCCTTTGCTTTTAACAGATAAACTGCAGTCCATTAAAACTAAACTAAACTAAACTTATAAAGAAACAAATAAAACAATTTTAGATTTCTTGGAGGACAGCATTCAGGTAGACTACGAGTAGTCCCTCTTTCACTTAGTCTGTCATGCGAGAAAACTCCCAGGATTTCGCGCGGCCATTTTTCTTTCACAGCTTTCTTTCGCGTCACGCACGACGGACTAAGCGAAAGAGGGACTACTCGTAGTCTAGCATGCATGAGAAGGGTTAACGAAAAATAAAACTACTTCGAGGCTATTCTTGAAACGTATTCCCCTTTTGCCTTGGTATATATCAGTCCCATATTGATATTTGTGATGCACTGGAAGAAAATACTTCATACTTAAAGGCACGTAGAATAAGAATGAAAAATGCGCGAGTGTCGCATTTTAGTAATAAATTGGAATATTCATAAGGGGAACCGCCGGATTTTAAGACAACAAATTACTTTCAGTTTCGAGTATTGGGCTCACGGTTTTACACTGTAACTTCAGCTAAACGAAGAGTGTCTGATCATGATTTTAGAACTTACGGAGCGTAGAAGTACGAAACATTGGACCAAATTATTGATCTATTTAACAACTAGATCATGGCTGCGACCTCGTCAACTATCGCGCAAAAAAATCGAAAGCACGAAATAATCTGATTGTTTTAGTGTATCTTATAGTCATTCAAAATTGCATCTTACATCCCCTTCACAGACACTTGCACTGGTGGCAAGGAAACCGCACCCTACAAAAGCTTCCTTTGGGAGCCTGAATCTGTGTGAGTCAATTGGTGAGTCTGTTATTCATCTAAAGAAGTACCTTGTAGACTTTGGAGGGAATTTAAGATCCACAACTGAGCTGTATTATTCAGACTAATCGCGTGACGCCGGCCTTTCCACTTTTTAATGTGCGTTTTTGGTGGCTTTAGAATAGTTATTAGGGAAACCCCCTTTTTCCAAGAAAACTGTTGGCCTATGTGATCTCATGTACTGCATGTGACGCCGATTTAAATATATATAAATAGCTAAATTTTGTGTATACTTGGAGTACAGGGGTTAATCCTGAAGATAGCCATAATCTTATTTGCATAGACAGCCAAATTGTGTCACGCTATCGAAAGTGAAAGTA